TGCCCCTTCTTAATAAAATATGTACTAAATATGTCTATTAATTTAAAACAAGTAAGAATAAAATCTTACATTTCAAAACAGCATATAGATTGAAGCAAGCATTTCAGGTAGACGGCCTTAACAGATAAAACTGTCCCATACTGCCGCTAATGTTTTGAAACAACTAAACTATTCGATTGAAAAAAAACGGTACATCGTGATCTCCTTATAGTTCACCAAAACATTATCTGTATTTACCTATACTATAATCGGACTGGAACGAAACTTGTCCCGTGGAGGAGTCCATATAAAACTTAGCTGTGTCAGCCCCGCAATTTATAGAGTACGTTTTTGTATCACCATTATCTTGATCTCTAACACCATATGAAGGAGTGCCTATAACATCGTTTGCCTAACAGATCAAAGAAAAGAAAAAAGGTTATCTTTTTATGTTAAAATATACACACACGCAATAAAACAATAGATGTTGCACATAGATGACATTGTGCGAAATACTGATAACCAACGGAAATAATGTAAATAACAGTGAATTAACGGAATCATTGTGCAATATTTTGAAAGCATATACAAATCAACAATTACACCATGTCTTCCTTTTACAAGCTTTTGTTTCTTCCGATTTGGAAACCTATAAACTTTAAAGCATGTCCATTGTTTGAGATTTGTAGTTTGTCGCTTGCAGAGAATTTGGTTATTTATGATCGTTTTACCAGAAAAAAAGACTGGTTATGTGGACCAACTGCCGAGATAATACCAAAAACAAAGTGTTAAAAACGTCGTAAAAACAAAATACAAACCTAACGAAACTAAATGAAAATAGCGATTTGTCATTATGTTATCAAATGCTTTACCAATCCTTCTGTAGTCGACAAACTGTAAGTTGACAGCGAAAACTGCGGAGCCTCGTTTACGTTGATGACGTCAATCACTAACGATTGAGTATCCGATACAGTGCCGTCGTTAACTTGAATAACAAACGTAAAGGATGTTGTTCCTGCGGTCGAAAGCGTCTCGTAATCAAGAAGGGTGCCTGACGTAGAAATGAGTCCACTTGTAGCTGAAAAACAAAACAAAAACCAAGTTACAATCATTGGGCGTCCGTGGCAGTGTGATTAAGATACTTTACTTCAAAAACTTGTACCTCTTGTGGATTGGAATTCATACAAAGACTATGAATTTGAGGAAGCTATCCAGCTAGCTTATTGAACGTCGGTGATTCTACTCAGGCACCCGTTTGCGCCAGAAATAATTAATGAAAGGGCTTCTTCCACCAGTAAAGCAGATACTGTGTCGGTCCGACATTTAACCCAATCAATCAATCAATCAATCAATCAATCAATCAATCAAACAAAGCATACGAACAAACAAACAACCAAACACATTTTACACTGGTATTTATTAAATAAGATAGTGAAATGATATATATGGAGATCACTGTATCGATTCAACTAAAAGTAATGTTTTTTGTATAATAAAAAAACGAAAAGAATATAAATCAAATACCATCAATAGAAAAATATGAAGCTCCAGATGCAGGGGTTGATGTCATGGAATAAGTCCATGTTTGTGCATCTTGGTCTGAGATAGAAACAGCAAATACTGAGGAAGATAATGGAGTGTTTTCTTGAACGGTGTATGAATTTGCCAAAGGAAGATTGTTAATCAAAACTGGATCGTTAATATCTGAAATAAAACTCACACATTTCTTGAATGATGAAATTACAATTAAAGCTTTACATAAACTGAATAATGCTATAAGTAGTATAGACGTCTCTTTAGTGGGCCTAAAGAGATGCCTTTACTACTGATATATTAAAACTTTGTTTATTTATAAATAGAGAGGTACAATTAGTTAAGTATGATATGTTCTTTCAATATAATGTTCGCTAAAGAAGTGTGTATTAAGTCATAGGTAAAGTTACGAAAGATGGATTCAAAACAAGTTTTTCTGAAATTCATTTTATGAAGTAACAAACGTGAATTCAAAAGGTTAAATCGTATTATCACGAAGTAAAAATCATGAATTTACAAAGACGAAATAGTGAATTCACTTAGTTGAAAATTATAAAGTGCAAAACTTAAATTCATGAAGCTAAAATTGTGCATTCGTAAAGCTGAAATCGTGTTTTCGTTAATTTTCATATGTTTCATGCAGATGAAATGAATTTAACAATGTTGAAATGAACCCTCCATACTTTCGAACAAATAGAAGATAGTTCTGCGACATTAGTGAAATCAGCATTAAATATTCTAAGCAAACAGTCATATAAAAGCAGAGGTAATCAATTTAATATGTATTATATTAAAACTAACCTCTTATAAGCACAGTTAATATTTTTGGATCCGCCGTATTTTTAGCATCGGCAACGGTGATTTCTATATCGTAACCGACTGTGTTATAGTTCGAAATATCAGCATTTAGCTGAATTTCTCCAGCTGCAATATTATTAAATACAATGTATGTGAACAAGTGTTGAAGTTCGAAAATCTAAAAAAGAAACAACAAAACAAAAACACAAAAAACAACAAAAATATATAAATGTATTAAAGCAATGTCTTTATAGTTAATCAAATAAGTGTAAAAATAAAATTTCAGAGTCGATGCAATATAATCAGAAAAAAAAAACCCAGTTTTACTGACACGGCGCCATCGGGATAGTTTAACAAAAATAAAATAAACAACTTAGGACAATTAAATGTAGATATTATTTAGTAAATAATACTTCATATTGATTTAAATAAATACAAAGGACATAGTGATGTCTGAATGCAACATTAGACAAAACGCTGTGATGTCTGAATTAACATGCAACATTAGATGAAACGTTGTGTTGTCGGAACTTATATGTAACATGACACGAAACATTGTTATTTCTGAACTTACATGCAAATATAGTGAAAGGACATGGCGTAGGATTACATGTCATGGTATACGATATCGTGTCACCTTCGGCGTCTGTAGCGTTCACCGAGAACACATTGGTACCAATACCATTTGTTGTTGATATACTTGTTGCAGCTGAGAACGAAACAAGAAGTAATTCGTAGTAAGTTTAACAATACAACGCACCCAAGGCATTTATATAAAATAAGTATTATGAAAGGTTTTGACCGGTTTCTTTATCAAAGATCAAGTATCATTATGGTAAATTAAAACTTGTCACATATGGTTATAGTTGAGCATCAGAGAGTGGTTAGTGATGTTAATATCTTGACAACGCTATCAAAGATGACATTGTGTTTGAACTTACTGGCAATAACGCTTTAAAATGTCTGTTACTCTTTAACCAGTAACATACTGAGCTTATAAAATGAATTTTTCAGTCTGAATTTTTGAGGTGTCCATTATCAAATTTAGGGATATTATAACAAACATCCGAAGTTCGTAAGCTGTTTACAAAGAGCCTGGTCAGACTGCAGATCAGCATCAATCATGTTCTTTAAGGGCCCTTTACATCATGCCGTTCTGGTCAACGCTTTCTGAACGTTCCAATCGTTCAATCTTTGAGCGTTCTAGAATAAGGTTGATACATCTTGGGCGTGATTAACTTGTATCTAACGCATAACTAGCGAATGTCTAACACACGAGAAGCATGTAACATTGACGAAGTAAGATACCACTGAAACCCATAAGCATGTGCTAAGGTGCCACTGGCGCGGGGTGTACTATTTGTCACCGCCAGACGAGCGTTGTACGCGTGTTACTAACGTGTGAATAACGACCGAAAAGCGTTTTTTTTGGTGCGTTATTCTTTACGTTCGAACGGGAATAAAACGCTGGGAATTCCATGGTAAATTCAGTTGTTCTTATGAGTTTGAAACGTCAGCATCATGACGCTAAGACATAAAGATTGATGAGGGTTTATCCTACTAGCTACGGCGAAACATTTTTGCATTCATGATTACACTGTAGTCGTCTTCGTCGGGGTCTTCTTCTCTGCGACTAAATTCCCTCAATGTGTTTAAGTGCAGAGAACTACTTGATGTTTGGTTACAGGAAGCATATGTAGCCTAATAAATCTTTCAGAACCTCCATAGTAGGTGTTCTCTACAGTAGCCCAAAATCAAATGAAGCTTGCTTTTTTTTAGATTTGCATGGACTTTCGTCGAATGACGCTCAAATAACGCTCAATGAACGCCAAAAGGACGTTCGTTTTCCTTTAGTCACAGTTTTGTCCGCTTGATGACTGTTCAGCGCTCGTTGACAGGTCGCCAGTGTATCGTTGACTGCAAAGTAAACGATTAAGGATCCGTCATACCATGACGTTTTGGTCAACGCTCTCTGTTTCAATCTTCCATTTTTGAACGTTCATGAATGAAGTTGACACATCTAGCGTGTGATTAACGTGCGTCTAACGCATAACTAACGTGTGTCTAACGCACGGGAAACGTGTAACAGCAACCAAGTAAAATATGTCGGAAACCCATAAGCGTGTGTTAACGTGCAACTGGCGCGGGACGAACTATTTGTCAACGCCTGGCGAGCGTTGTGAGCGTGTGACTAACGAGTGAATAACGACAGAATAGCGCATTGATGGCGTGTTATTTTTACGGCTTAAACGGTACAGAACTTTTGTGCATGATCAAAACTTTTTTCCGGACCAGCGTTCTCCGCCGATTCCCAGAACGTCATGGAGTGACGGCCCCTTGAATCTTTAACTGAAACTTTCTAAATCACAGGTGCGTCTATTTCTTCAGAACGTCAATTTCTGAGGTTTAAGATGGCGCATATATATTTTCAAAGTTGTAATTAAACCAGAAAATCACCTAGATTTTTAAAGAGCAACCTTTTCATTTAAAATGTAATATGATATGATAATACTTGTGATTTTTAATAAAAATAAAAATAATAATAATAATAATTTATTTTGCACAATCGTATTTTATTACCTTGTAGATTGTGAATCAGAGGGGCCTGATTCTTTACAAGATAAACATAGAATGTCCCCGTATTACTATCTTTATAACCATCAGTACACTTCACTGTGAACTCATAACTTCTTTCAGTATTATAATTCAAGTTTGGGTTGTCGTCCACATATATACCATAGTCTGAAAATACAAGTCACAAGTTTCAATCCGACTTACTTAAGTTACTTTGAGGATTTCAGTTTCGTTTACATTATCGTATACGGACTCCTTTTCATTTGTTGCAAAATTGCATATTTTTTCGATCCCATCAGTCGTCTCGCGTCGCTGGTATATATCATTGAATTCAAGTGATGAATATTTATTACTCATAATGAGAACTACATTTTTAGTCTATCGGAAAACCATAGATTAGTAATTATCTGTCAGTGGATAAAATATATTTTCAAAGATGAAAAAGCAGTATATATAGTTCTATATAAAGGTGTATTATTGTTACATCGCCTGATATATAATTGCATGTCTTTTTTGGACTTATATTGTATTCAACAGGGTCTGAACTTAAAAGAACACGTGCTAACAATCACTTTTGTGTGGTTTTGTATGTGACATCAGTGATGTGTAATCAAATTATTTTTAACAAAGTAAATACTGTGCATAAAATGATTTGTATATTTGATAAGCTGTATGCATCACAAAGATTGAAATAACATAAAATTTAGCTAAATACTTATATAACAGCAATCTTATATTAAAACCCATAACATCAGATTTGAACACAAGATCATCGACATACCTGCAGTCCCTGAAATTTGGCTAATACTGAATGGGTCAGTAACCGCTGGGCTAAAAGAACATGTTACCGGATCGACGGTGTCTGTTGCATTGATTGTGTACAAGAGTTGTTTTGTGGTGGCATCCTCACTCAGAGTAACCGCTGCGGGCATGTCATGAAGAACGGGGGCCTAAAATATTAAGAATGAAAGCATGTCTGAAAAACATTTTGATATTGCAAACGGAGCGCCGTTTTCCCTAGAATCTTTTTGCAATGTTTGCTATTTGATTATAGGCTAGATTGGTTTTTGTTTTGTTTTGTTTTGTTTTTTTATAAGCCGATGACCAAGGGAAACAAGAGGTATCGTGTCTCTGTTTTATTCTGACATAAATTTATAACCGTTATTAACCAATGTGCCTGTAAATGTTTAATACAAAATTTTTAACTAAGCTGCCTTGTCGATGTAATAATGGCACCAACACACACAAAATGTGTTAAAACATAGGTTCAAAGGTCTGTCTTTTAATGCAGCTTACTATCATTTTAGCTTCTACAAATATATTTTAGTTCAATTGTTTTGGAGGCTTATTGAAACACTCCCGAATCCGTTCCTGGAACCAACAAGTACTAATCAATGAATGTAAAGTTTCTTGCCCAAGGAAACAACCGCTTGCCTCTGACAGGGTTTGAACTCACGTGGTCAGCAATTCTTAGATCACTAGATAACTAGTCCGATGCGTTTACCACTCGGCCATGACGCAATTCGATTCATCATAGTGGCCATAATGAAAATGACATACAATCTCAGCTTTTGAAAGTATCCTATGAAAAGACTAATAAGTTTTACGGCGACTACGGTAAAGTTTTAACAAGACATGTACTAAAGTAAATGAAACAACAAAACAAACTCAACTGTTGAAATGCGTTGGCCTTGTGGTTAAGGTGTCTAACTCTCAACCCAGGGATCATGGGTTCGAGCCCTCCGCGGGTCATGACCATGAATTCTCAATTTCTCATAATGACACAAGTATTGGTTAGTTCCAGGAAACAGACTCAAAAGTAATTAATATGAATTGAAAATGAGCACAACAAAAGTTTCGTACATTTAGAATAATTAGAGATTTTTTATATACTCATTTATAAATGCGCCTAAGAATGGTCACAAGCGTTTTGTCGTAAAGGGGCAATATATATGGGAATCGCGAATATAGGATTTAGTGTCTTTCTGTCTTAATCCGGCGACTTAAAAGACTATGTCTTACTTCGTTAATAATTTGGACATCAATGGTGATTGAATCGGTGTTTCCACAGAAATCAGTGACCGTGAATGTAAGACTTTCTGTTAGATCGGGTCCGGCCAGTGATGAAGCAACAGATAAAGTTCCTGTTAAAAACAATAAATACACTTATTATAATTCATACCTATAAATAAATTTTTGAGAATTTTTTTTATGAAATAAAATTTGTATTTGCATTTTCCGTTTTTCACTGGTGTCTTGCCGGACTACTTTCTAAGCCAAAACACAAAATTTGAGTAGAAATTTCTAGAATTGTATGGTCAAACAAAGAGCAAAAGTTTATAATAAACAGAAAATTCAAGTTTTACTTTCCATAAAAACAGGATTATTTTTCATCTTGCGATATGAAAATTATCATACAATTTCATTTGTGGCTCCTACGAATCATGAAATATTTATTTTTCATACCACTCTAAATCTAGTATTTAAAAAAAGAATATCCTCTTTACAAGATGATTGCATAATATAATTGAAATACTTAAAGAAATTTCAAGAATAAATTCAGTATCAACGCATTTTAGTAAAGGAAACTGAATTGAGAAAGTGATGTATCAAGCAGAATTGATTAAATAAGGTTTTGTTTGATATTAATCACAATACGCCTCAAATCCATTCTAATCTTTAGGAAAATTTCGATAAAGTTACATCCAAATAGTTAAAAAAATTTAAATGTATACATATGAAAATATAGCAATTAAACCTTTCTTAGACACTTGAAATTACATATCAACAAGAGCGATCAGTGATCACATGTGTCGCATTATTATGGCCAATTTCATGTTGGGACAAGTTTTGTGACAGACGGACAGACAGACAGACAGTGCACAATTAGACCTGGTACTGATCATTCCTGTAAAGTTTGGATGAATTTGCACCAGAAGTTTATGAGGAGTAGTCCGGACAAGCTTTTGTGTATCTGACAACACACAGAAAAAAAACACATTTTTATCACAGGGCCATAACTCGGCCAAAAATCATTCAACCGGAAAACCCGTGCAATATGCGCAAGAACTTGAGCTACAGATCAATCCTGTAAAGTTTCATTGAAATTGCATAAGTGGTATAAGAGAAGTAGTCCGGACAAACTTTAAAAATAAAAATCATTAAAAGGCCATAAATCTAACAAAAATCATTGAACCAGAAAATGCTGACAATATGCACAACTAGACTTGGTACTGATCATTCCTGTAAAGTTTGGATGAATTGCACCAGTAGTTTATGAGGGGTAGTCTGGACAACCTTTTGTGTATCTCGCAACACACAGAAAAAACACATTTTTATCAAAGGGCCATAACTCAGCCAAAAATCATTCAACCGGAAAACCCGGGCAATATGCGAAAGGACTTGAGCTACAGATCAATCCTGTAAAATTTCATTGAAATTACATTGGTGGTATAAGAGAAGTAGTCCGGACAAACTTTAAAAATAAAAATTATTTAAGGGCCATAACTCTGACAAAAATCATTGAACCAAAAAATACTAACAATATGCACAACTAGACTTGGTACTGATCATTCCTGTAAAGTTTGGATGAATTTGCACCAGTAGTTTATGAGGAGTAGTCCGGACAAGCTTTTGTGCATCTGGCAACACACAGAAAAAACACCTTTTTATCAAAGGGCTATTACTCGGCAAAAATCATTCAACCGGAAAACCTGTGCAATATGCGCAAGGACTTGAGCTACAGATCAATCCTATAAAGTTTCATTGAAATTTCATTAGTGGTATAAGAGAATTAGTCCGGACAAACTTTAAAAATAAAAATTATTAAAAGGCCAAAACTCTGACAAAAACCATTGAACCGGAAAATGCTGACAATATGCACAACTAGACTTGGTACTGATCATTCCTGTAAAGTTTGGATGAAATTGCACCAGAAGTTTATGAGGAGTAATCCGGACAAGTTTTGTGACGGACGGACTGACGGATGTTCTCACAGGACAGTAATTATGTGGCTACTCTATTGTTCTCTCTATTGTTCTTTTTAGCCACACAAAAGAAAATAGCCACATAAAAGCATTACGGAATGAATGACATCAAAGAGAAAGAACAGTTACCTATTGTCCCTCTAGCCACATAATTACTCTCCTGTGAGTGCGGACAGACAGACGGACAGACAGACGACGGAGAAGTGATCCCTATATGTCGCCACTACTCCGTAGAGGCGACACAAAAATAGGAAATAAGACCTTTATCCAATGAAATAAAAGGACAAGTGAAGATATTAAATAGCATTAGATAAGTAAACACAAAAGTATATCGCTTTAAACATGCATGGAAACTAGGCTGGAGGTGTAAAGATGCTTCATGTAACAAAAATAATCTAAATTTGAGCCGTGTCACGACAAAACCAACGTAATGGGTTTTCGACCATCATGGATCCAGACCAGCCTGCGCATCCGCGCAGTCTGATCAGGATCCATGCTGTTCGCTTACAAATACTATTACAAGCAGAGAAACTGATAGCGAACAGCATGGATCATGATCAGACTGCAAGAATGCGCAGGTTGGTCTGGATCCATGCTGGTCGAAAACCCATTACGTTGGTTTTGTCGTGACGCGGCTCTTTTGTCAAGATGCTATATTTCACAAACATCAAAGACTTTATTAAGTACAAGGTATGTATCGTTCATACAATTTTTAGATCATTTTAATTAGTTTAAATTTTATTCATTAAATAAATTGTACATAAACAACATATACAAACGTTTCACACAAAGAAAATCAGACTTGATTAGAAAACAAACAAACTAATACATATATCAATTCCTCTCCAGTAAAGGTAGGAATAAAGATACAACAATGTTGCGGTTAGATGTAAGTTCATTTAATGAACAATAAAGAATAAGAGAATATTTAATTGTTGAATTATCACTTAAGAGAGACTAAGGTAACCTATGGCAAAATGGCAGAAGAAAGGAAAAGAACTCATGGAGAATTATTAATATATATAAATATATAAAACCAAATTAATTAAACTTAAGATAAACGTAGAAAGGAATCATTTCAATTAAGATTTATATAAAAACTGGAATCATTTCAATTATGATTTATATAAAAACTACCATCTATCTACAAAATGTATATTTTGAAAGAACACGGACAGTGGCACATATTAACATTTTTTTCACAAGGTAATAGTTTGTGCATTATATTAGCAAATCTCAAGATAAGGCTCGAGACAAACAAATGTTACCTTAAATGCACAATAAGAACAAATATTTATTCCGATGCAAATTTACATGGTCAAAATTGCAAAATGTTACACATAATTCTTATAAAATTTAGAGTTACCTGTTCCTACCCCTTCGACAAATGTGAACTTCGAATCAGCCGTAATTGTTGTGTTCAACTCATCACCAACATCAGGATCTGACCATGTTATGGTAGTTATAAATGTCCCAATCCCAACATTGTTCAAAATAGGAAACACACTATTATCTGCTGGACTGTCCACAGTTGGGCCTGTACCTGTTTGGAAGTGAAAATATATGTTTCATAAATATATTTTCTTTTTCAAATTTAACAACTTAACCGGGTACTTTCAAGTATCAGTAACATTTTTATCACGATTTGTAGACTACTACTACTCGTACAGTAGCCTTTCTCTATTGTAAAACACTAATAAAGACAAAAATAAATCATAAAAGAAATTAACTTTAGCGTCTTGAAAACGAATTAAAACGGAACATTTTCGTTTATATTCTACTAACGCTTTAAACCGATAAATCAAATAAAAATAGAAATCCTATTTATAGAAACAAACTGGGATTGCCGAAATAGCTAAATATAGCCTTGATTTCCGTAATATTACTTCGTCTGATTCCGCAATATGACGGATCGCCCGAATTGTCACGATTGCAGCGAAAACTTAGACTGGTTTCCCGTTCCACCATGCACTAACAAGTGTAAGCAGGAAACCACCTTACCGGAACAACTTTTTCAAACAAAAATGTCTTTGTACACATCCTCTCTCATGTGATATACGTACGTAACATTTACACTTTTTAAATATTCCATTAATTATGTTGAAGTGTTAACCCCGCTTATTCTAATGACAAACCTATTAGAATGTTTCCTGGGTAAAAATCATTATTTTTGTCGTTAAGTGAAACCATATAAAATAGAGAAAATAAGAATCCCTAAAGAAATCCAAACACGTAATAGGTTGTGAATTCTCGAATTCAAATTAAACATACAATGTATACATATGCAGTTTGTATTTGGCCTCTCTTTGTATCACAGCATTTTTTACGACCACAGCATATACGTATCAAACAACATTTTCATTTCTTTCGCCTTTGCATTTATCTTTATACAAAGAAAACAAATGTTTTGTACAAAATTGTAAAGCAAGCGTACCTCCATTCGCCTCAGCTCTTATAGCATATGTATCAGTAGCGTCAACAGTTGTAGTCCACGTGGTCGTACTATCAACTGCGGGTCTTGTCATCGCTTGAGTTGAGACATCAGGTGACCCTCCGGCCCCTTTATGTTCAATAATGTTGGGTCCGTCGGCAAACCTTTATTATTATATTATATATAAAAAGTTATAAATTGCCACTAAAAAGTATTTTATGAACTTCCTTTGACATAGTACTAAGTGCCTCAATAAACTTTAACGGAGAAATGAATAATATTTTACAGTCACAATTTAACGCAACAGAGACTTAATATGACCAACCTCTTTTAAAACGCTGTTTACGTCTAATGTGAATATAATGCAAACATTTAGATATATTTCTATCTTGTTTTTAAATCACTGGGGGAACTTGGCGAAGAATAAGCTACGAAATAAAAATATCTCTGGGTAATAATACATCACTGAGCATCGCAATTCAAATTCAGCCGGTATTTTACACGTTTATATAAAGCGAGGTGTTACGAGTTTGATATTTGCTACTTTTAGGTCACTTCAAGGACACATAACTTATACAAAAATAAAGAAGAAACGTAAACAAAGAAACTTATCTTAACCGAGTTTTAGAACTTTTGTACAGGGATTAGAAAGGCAATGAGCGACATGAAAAGCAGAAAAATAAGGCATTGTCGTAGCTTTTATCCTATTATTACATTCTATTTCGGAACCCTAAATCACTGAGCCTTTGAGCCCAAAAGCATTATGTCGACTCTATATCTTAGGATGAAGTGCAAGTACAGGTGCTTATTCCAGGCAAGGGCAGAACCATGGGTAGAACTATCGACCACCTGTCCATATAATTGATCTTATTGGTCTTTGGCATTGAACCCACTCAACAGTAAAGGGCATTAAAATTGAAGTCACTAGCCTAAGCGTCTTTAATGAAAACGGCGACCTAAAGCTACCGACCACAGTGGCCCGTAAATCTTGAGTATAATTTAAACGTTTACCATCCTATCCTATCACCAGGACGAACAGAAATTTGATCCCCAGCTGCAATAGTTATCGGCGAGTTAAGGCCTGCTCCTGAAATCGCAAAGCAAAAATATCATGAAATTGTCCTTGCAATTAGCTTCAATTGACTTGTCCATCTTTTACTCTGGACAAAATCGTTTATCATTTTTAAAGAACATTTCAAAATAAGTTCTGGATGAATAGTTAACAGTCTAGGACCATAAGACGTTTCCGGATGTGGCGTCTGACCTCGGTCTGTACTGTTTGCATAGGTAAAATTCAAGATTTTTACCGACAGATGTCTAAAGATTTAAACGTATGCATTAGTTAAGTTAAATGCACATGATGCCTCAGAAACGAATGATTCACGGGAATGAGTACGTTTTTTTGGACATTTTAACAGGACGTCAACAATAAAAACAAACTTTTAAGATGTAAAAGTAATAGAGTTTCTTAGACATTGTGGGTATTTAACATGTTCAGATGGCATATCAATACTTTTCCCTTTTCCTTTTTTAATAATTTATTTTCCCTTTCAAATAATAGTCAAACATACTTTTATTAATAAACCACATACCTGACGAATGTGTTTAAATACAGTGTTATGTTTGAACAAACTGACTAAAGAGTTTCAATATACATAATTACATGGATATGATTGAAAAATTATACACTGGTATTGATTCTTATTGTGGTATATTCGTAAAGAAGGACATATAAGCGAGGTTACACTAATAGCGTCTAGTCTCATTTAATTATTAAATCTCATTTCAAAATCGATATCATTCTATACATTCAATAACTTCAATTTGAAATAAAGTTGTGAACTTAAAGGCACTTCATCAAGAAAACGATATACAAGGTTGACTGTGTCGTACCTAGGAAGCCTTTTATATGACTTCCCAGGGAAGTAACTATATGACTTAGAATATCAAAATAGTACAGAAAAAATATAACCTGAGCATAAACCTATATAGAAACACATCTATTAACTAGTCTAGTCTCACATAAAAGAAATATATGACCAGAATTGTTTACATTCAATATTGTGAAATATACATTGTACATGGATACGATAATTTGAACAATTCTAGTCATTCGTAATATTTTAGACAATTGTTATTTATACAGAGATAGTTATAGGTTTTAGATCTTACAATGTCCATGTTTTTATATCAATATCTATATATAGTCTATTTGAAATGACTTATTGATTGGTCACTCGTGTGTAAATTGTAGATAAAAACGGTATAATGTATATGTACTGTGAGTGTTACTGTAATTAAACTATTCTAAATTTATCTTGTATTGTTATTCCAATAAGTCATATATAATAAGTCAATAATGAGTGTACAGGTAAAATTAAAACAAGACTTTTCATTTTTCCAAAACTGTTTTTAATTTTCTGTTCTTATTCACAAAAAAGAACAATTACCTATGTGACTGATGGAACTTCTATAAATATCCTTCAGAATATATCTTTTATGTTCAATTGATAATAGGAGTGTGCATAACAGTATTTATATTTTAGGCAGTTTGTATATTTCATCCTTATCATTATTATTATCATTAACTTTTGGTTCATGACCATTATAATAGACAATCTCTTGAAGTATGTAACAAATTCGCCCCGACTTGACAACGAAAAAGAAAATGACCATAATGTCAATTAAAATGTTGCCAAACAAAAACGCCAAACTGCTGTCACATATAAGAAGGTAAAATATAAGAAAAAGACGGAAAAATAAGTTTCTTTGTTTATGAACATTAACAATTGTAAGCGCATTTGACATTGTTTGATGCAATTAAGTAGCTTGCAAAGTGTTGGTGGATACATGTTTATTTGACCTTACTAGTCGTACGTATTTTTATCAACAACGCTAACTTTATACAACAAAACTGTGTTCTTACCGACATTTTCTACATTTTCTCCTACCAGCTTATAATCATTTCCGGTAGTTGGCCGCCATACTTGTAAATAAACTGTCCCGGCTTGATCCGCCTCCAACTGCCACTCAGTTATTGTGCCGCAACAGTCAATCTTATAGTTGTCTAGATTTCCGCGCAAAATATACCCAACGTCTAAATTGAAATGTAAAACAGAGTATGGATTTGTTATTTTACACAATTTTGATAGTAAAGAATAATCTTAAAACAAACTTGTCTGTCTTTCAATCCTGACAAAGCCATTGATCAGTATAGGGATATTTACTGACGAAGTAGCCAATAATGTAGACTATGATCGGATGGCCGATTAATCTTGGTCTGGGTAAAACTAGTCGCCGTCAGCAGGCTCAATCTTAAAAAACGCCTGGAAATGTATCAAAATCAAGAAATTTCACTTTTACAATACAACATTGATATTAAAAGTAATATTCAACCTTTTACGTTAACATACAAACGTAATCAGATATTTTAAACTGTTTAAACAGACACATTGATTAGTCATTTATATACAAACTTCTTTTGTAAAATCTATAGAGTGTTTTTCAATTGCAAAAAATAGACATGGCATTGAAACCATACCTGAGTTGCCATCAATACTGCCAGCCTTTCCCGCAGGATTTTGCTCACCAATCACTTTGGAAGCACCTTAAATACATGAACATTTTGTGAATAAATTAGCAATTTGAAAACAAAAAAACATCATCTTAAAGTCACAAAAATTACGCAGAACTTCAAAATATCTTAAATACAACGACACTTTTTTCAACTTAATTGTGCACGACTCAGACCACAAGGCAAAACTAGAGTAACATCACTAGAAAAACGACAATACAATGAATTCTTCTTTAATTAATGATTTACTCATCTAACTTAATAATATTGCATGATTTCAAAAGGAGATCATAGCTCATTATTTTGCATGCATAAGTGATTATTTTCTATTCATTTTCTTTCTGAATAATGATATATGAGCCTCGTCACGACAAAACCAACGTAATGGGTTTGCGATCAGCATGGATCCAGACCAGTCTGCGCATCCGCGCAGTCTGATCAGGATCCATGCTGTTCGCTATCAGTTTCTCTACTTGTTAAAATGTTTAAAGCGTTAAATGAAAAACCATTAATTACATAAGGGCCAGAAGAATAGATATATTAAACAAGGTCCGATGAAATAAATATACTTGATATAAGAGCTAATAAATTTAATGCATTAAATAAGGGCCGGTAAAGAATGACCGACGGAATAAATACATAAATTAATGGCTGGTGAAGGGAAAAGAGCGTGGTTAAGCAATTAGAAAGAAAAATAAAATTACCAGCTAGATAACGCAAAACATTTATTTGTAGCTACAAAAACGTCATGTGACCTATGATGACGTAATTTTAACCTATATCTTGCTGAACTTACTGAAGTTGTATTTTTTAATGTATTAAGTGATTAGTAACAAACAGACGGTGTTGCTACCTTACACCATGGTATTATCATTGATAGAAAATTGACTTTTGTACTTAAAAAGTCTTGAAATAACAATTAAACCTTCAACTTCTGGAATCGAAAGAAAGAAGTACAAATCTACCAATTAAAACAAGTTAAAAGTAAATATCTGAAATGAAAACGATGAAAAAAGCATCTAGTTAGATCAATTTTATAGATTCAATTCGATTTTATTTCATGTATTTTATTTATTTATTTATTGTTTATATATTATAATAATAGATCCGTTAATATTATTTCATTTATTTATTTAGTTAGTTAGTTATAATGGTAGATTTATTTATTTATTTATATTTATTTATTTATTTATTTTTATTTATTTATTTATTTATTTATTTATTTATACAATAGTAGACCCGTATATTATATTATATATATTATATTAATTATATTATATTATATTATATTATTATATATATTATTATATTATATTATATTATATTATATTATATTATATTATATTATATTATATTATATTATATTATATTATATTATATTATATTATATTATATTATATTATATTATATTATATTATATTATATTATATTATATTATATTATATTATATTATATTATATTATATTATATTATATTATATTATATTATATTATATTATATTATATTATATTATATTATATTATATTATATTATATTATATTATATTTATTTATATTATATTATATTATATTATATTATATTATATTATTATATTATATTATATTATATTATATTATTAATTTGTTTGGTTTTACGTCACCAACACAATACAGATCATGTGGTGACTCAGCTTTTTCTGGTTGAGGAAGACCTCAGTTCTCTTCCGTGCATTATTTAAATTTTCAAGAAACGAAATGAAAATTGATGTTAGTAATAGAAATATACTAAAAAGTAACATACTTACATTGGGCATAGATTGTTTCAAGACAGCCAATTAGAAGTAAAAATACGATAATCACTCTCATGTTTTTAAAATTTAGACTTCTTCACTCAGTAAGTTTGAATTATAAATAAACCAATAAGAAAGAATTATCATTTTTCCATTTTAAAATATTACGTATTGCGAATCCTATTTCATCTTGAATGTGAAATATATATTATTGATTGGATTCCGTTCAAAAGCATTTTACAATATACCGGTCCCTACTGCTTTAGAATTACTCCTGGGCTATTTTCCACCTCTTTCAGGCGTTAAAAAAGCTTTATTTAATGTAAAACGAAGATGCATATTATAAATTCATCCATGACAAACTTACATAAAAGACTAACCTACATATTGCAAACATCTGGAATAAGATAAACAGCGTGAAACGATTTTAAGTCAGATTCTTTTGTAACGTTTTGTTTACTTTACACAACAGGAATGATTATATAATATTTTTATGATGTAACTGTTCTCAATAAAAAGTACTGTTCAGTTAATGCCAAGAGGATAATTGAGCCGCGTCACGACAAAACCAACATAATGGGTTTGCGACCAGCATGGATCCAGACCAGCCTGCGCATCCGCGCAGTCTGATCAAGATCCATGCTGTTCGCTTACAGACCCTATAACAAGTAGAGAAGCTGATAGCGAACAGCATGGGTCCTGATCAGCTTGCGCGGATGCGCAGGCTGATCTGGATCCATGCTGGTCGCAAACCCACTATATTGGTTTTGTCGTGACGTGGCTCATATGATACAAAAGACATTGGCAAATATTGTCTCAGTATTGTCATACATTCGAATAGGGGGAAAGAAATAAAAGAAAAATAACTACGCACATTTTTGTGGTTACAAAAGCGTTTACTTTGGCTTGTTGACTTTTGATCAACTTTAATATATTAACGCAACATTGCCGTATAACAAGCAACATTTCCATTGTTAATTCATTTCAAAATCTAATCGAATCAATTATTTCCCAACTCATACAAATTCCACATGGCTTGTAAATGATGAGTTTAACTCCTGACCTTCTGGTACAGAAAGTAAATAACCCATGCTGCTAGTATAAAGTCAGGTCAAATCAAGACGCCTTTAGCTTTTTCTACAGGTTAGATATATTATTTTTATACAAATCGTGTCATATAATTCCTATAAATTAATTGCAACTGACTGTGATTTGTTTGAGTCAGTTGATTATACTTAGTTAAGTGATATTATGCCCATCTAAGTGTAAATGTTGATTGTGCAGGTTAAATTAAAAACATCTTTATACATTTTGCCAGAATTTGTTGTTGTTTATATAATCTTTCCCGCAACAATAATCAATAACCCTTGGACTTTTAAGAAGTCATTAAAGTGTATCTGTAATGTTCAAATGACAAAAAGAGTAGGACATTTTGTTTTTTGTTTTATAGGCAGTTTTAATGTTTTAACATTACCATTTTGTTATTAATTTTTTGTCAATGACCATTATCATAGCCAGTGTTCTGAAATATGCAACTTATAAATAAAGAATATCTTGATAACGCAAAATGAACATAATGTCACCTTAAATGTTAAGTTCTTCTGAAGGTATATGGGGGACGACGGTTACGCGCATTACCATAATAGGAACCGATTTGAAAGGAATGAAATTTGTAAATCTGACAAAAACGCTGAAGAAAAAAAATAATGTTGTGTTAATATGTGGTAAAAATAACTTTACAAATGACATACCTCCCAAAACACTTTTGAGAACTGCACAAAAATGAAAATATACAGTAGGCTTTACCCTTTACTTGTATAAAAAATGTGTGTTGTTTAGTTTTGTAGTATAGGATGTGTTTGATGTTCAAATTTGAAGTCAAGTGTACATAAAGTTGGCTGTACCTATTGAAAAAAGCAAAAATAAAACAAACAAAAAAAAAACAATCAACAACAACACTGGACTCTAATCTGAAATATGGTTCACTTTTCCCATGCCAAAATCAAGACGCTACCAAAAGTTCCTAAAGTGTCGCGTTCTATCTTAAAGAACAATGATTAGGAAAAATGAAAACGTGTCTGCGATCGGAGAATATTTCTAATTTCTGTAGAACAGCTTCGGATGAATACTTACATACTTAGCACTTGGCTAGCTTTATATTCACTTTTTTACGTTACTACAAATGAATTTTTATGAACGCGGTTCTATGAAACATTGAGAAAAACAGAAGGCGACTATGATCGGAATTTGATTTAGTATTGACTTTTCTTCTTTTATGAAAATTAACACACAGATTTTGTAAGAAATTAGCGTTTTCATTGAATGACAAATAATGCTGGACACTAATTCTAAATAGCTTAGTATTTTAGTATCTACTTAGAAAAGGTACCTCCATATCTAACAGAAAACGGCAGAACCGGATAAGAAGCGAAACATAGGGCATGGACAGAGGGTTAAAGCTACATTAAATAAATTCCATAAAAAAGAAATAGGTACACTTCGTGAGTTCAATATGTTTCATATCGACTCCCGTTCTTAGTTTGGTGTCTAGACAACCAAAATGAGTTTTATAGGCCATAAATATACAACCTCAATGTTTCAAAATGGGAAGTACAATTTCTATTTGCATGAGAAACTCCGCCTTTGGGTCATCCGTACATCTATAGAAACTCAACAAACATTTTTAAGTAGCATTCTGAATTTAACGGTATATTTCCGCATTATACGAGTATTACGAAATTTTTTCATACCAGTTCAATCTTTTTATGAGATGATTACTTTTTTGTAAACAACAGGGCTAATGCACCGTGAAACTAAAACGGTAAAAGTTTGTTTGCTATGATCCACATGGTTACAATTGATTGTAAGGCATACACGAGCTAATTATACAAGTCTTCATTTGCATGTTAAAATTCGTATACGGACTTTAGTGTTACCGTGGGGTTTTCCTTTGTAAATCATAAGTTATGAACAATTTTTAACGAGAGTTACAACAATACTGCTAAAATGTTGACAAAACTATAGAATCTATCATAGAATGCTTGGTTTTTTTAAGCCGACGGAAAAATATGTGTACATATTTTATTTAATGTAGCTTCAATGTTATTCGGTAAAGAAAAATGAAGGCTTAAATTTGGCATAAACAAAAGTTTTTGTTCAATATTATTACATATGACACGCTAATAACAAATTTACTGTAAAGATACGTGCCCTAAGATAAGCAAAAAGCCTAAGATAAGCAAAAATCTTTAAATAAATCAAACCTGAGGAAAATGTACTAAGATATTTGGACAATTAAAAAGATTCAATTTTTACTGTAAGTAATGATTTACATTTAATGTGTGCTTATTGATTGATTTCCAGTATTTTACTGTGTTACTAACGCATTAAATGCATTAGAAAATATATATATATTGACCTCATTTAGGTAATTTACGTAGGTTCTGTGTGTTGTTTATAATCATTATTGCTTCCGTTTAGATACTTAACATTACATGCATTTTACTTAAAATAAATGTATATATTTTAAAAATGTTCATGAAAAATAAATTGGAGGTGTGCTGCTTTTAAGTTTGTATTCTTTTCATGTCAATGTATTATATACATTAAAACATTTATTTATTATTATTTATTTATCTCATTTTTTTAAGTAAAAATGCAAACTTGTCTTCATTTTGATAACTGTATTGAATATCAAACTTCGATTGCCGACATCGCATATCGTAATTTCCCTTACAGTTCCCTTCAAAATGTATATTTTGTTCTATAACTACTTTTAATTATTCAATTTTTTGTGTTGAATGTAAAGCGAACTAAAACGTTTGAATGGTAATTAAGAATGTTTCAAAATTAAGATAAAAATAACATTTGTTGAATTATTTGTATTATAGTTAATCACAGATAAGCAAAGTTAAACACAGATAAGCACAGTTAAACACCGATTAGAACAGATTAACTCTGTTAAACACAGATAACCACAGGCTTATTGAACTACAAATTCACTTAAATTCTTCAACTTTTGCAGATATTCGACAATGTTTCGTGCTTGCACTATTGCGATAAGTGACATTTCGACTCGTGGTTAATTGTTACCCGCTTAGATACCATATATAATTTAATTACACGTACATGCATATCTACTTTAAAATTGTTTTAAGGGTTAAAAGATGATATTGTTTTCTTACAACACATATATTTGTTATGAAAAAAATCGTGCCAAAGAAAAAATTGTGAAACAACGGACTTCATAATGTAACAGGGTGTATTTTAAGCTACAACCATGAAAGGAATTGTTACTAAAATTTGTTTATAATATCTATTTAAGGATTTTTGACGGTTGTTTGTATGCAATGTAAATATAAAGGCCGCATAACATGTCAACAATCATAATAACGAATTCATAATTATCTCATAAACCGCATCGCAGGAGTGTAATAAAAACGATATTACACTAGTATAATAACACTTTGACGAGACGTCAAAGTGACTTTGACGAGACGTCAAAGTTCGCTAATGATAGCGTTACATTATAGGCGCGCGAATGAAAAATGACACTTTTTGACAGTTTTCCGTTTTTATCTTATTTATGTGATACAAAGAATATTACATTCGTGCAGATTCAATACTTAATTTATTTAATTTATTGAATAAAACAATATTATGCTCGCCAGAGGCTCGCATAATATGATTTTATACAACTCGTTCAATAAATTTAGTATTAAATCTACACTCATTCAATATCCTCTATTTCTGCATTTTTTTTTTTCAGAGAAAAAAAAAGATCTAAATTCATAAAACGACTGCAGCCATGTAGATAATATAAACAACACGGTTATCCAATGAAAAACGAGGTTACAAACGTGAAGTATTATAAATTACTACATACCCGTGCCGTTTTTGCGACTCCATAAAAATGGTACTGCACAGTCGTACATATTATTTTAACGTCACGTCATTTGCGTTGTATAAACATAGCGTTAAGATGCGCTAAATGTTAACGTTATACTATAGGCGCGTCAGTGAAAAAAATGTTCTTTTTCACTTTAAGCGGTCTTTATTTTTGGTAGGCCTACGTGATAAATAGAATATTAAATTCGTGTAAGTTCATTACTGAATTTATTGCCCTCCTTGAATAAAATAATGTTATGCTGGCCATAGGCTCGCACAATATAACTTTATTCAACTCGTTCAATAAATTCATTACAGTATTAAACTTACACTAATTCAATATCCTTTATTTATGAAATAAAGGAATAATTAATGATAGTGTATGATAAATCTAAACTTACATTGTGACGTTACACCCTTCATTAAACTTGACGTTAATATTACGAAAAACACCACTTCCATCATTTGAGTTGTCGTCATTTATGAATCATGCTCACTAAAGTCCACACTCGTAAATATTACGCTTTAATTTTACACTATTAATCAAACTTTATAATTTTACACAAATGTTTATCTTAACAAAATATCATTAAATATATTCACATCTCTCTTTTAAAGCACCATTTAACACTTTAACTTCATAAATGTTAGAATGCAAAATTACGCGGTCCATTTTCGGATTGATTTTTTTCCCTTTCCATCGCGTTTTCAAATTTCAATTGAAATAAAAATGTTAAGAAAATAATTTGAAAAGCAATTGGTATTCTCTTCTCACGTCAATTTGTGTACCCATTAAACGCTGTGTATAAAAGTAAACAAAAATAAACATGCCTTTTATCTCCAAATCAAAGGTATACCCGCATAGTGCTGTCTTTTGAAATGTTCTATTCACTGTGATAAATAAACAAAATGGACCATTATAAGGTTTAGTTTGTGAAAGAAAAACATTATTGACATCCGTTTCTATAAGGTTATGCCACGACATTTCATAAGGTATATATACGTACTCTAAAGATACAATCATTTATCTACAGACCTCTCACTAACAGACCACTCACGAATTTACTAATACATGTAGTAAGTCCGCTTTGTTCGCGAGAGGTTGACGCTCTAGAAGCTGAACAGCCTCAAATTGCTTAAATAAATTGCTTTCGGTTCACTAGAAATCTTATAAAATCATTACAACCCTAAATATCTTAAAAAGACTTGATCATCTTTTAATCTGGAAAAAAGAAAATAAGTACATGTTCAACATTAATATTGGAGTGTATATTTGTAGGCATATGTATACACACATGTAGTGATTTATTGCCATATGTGACGGTGTTGGTGCGATGTAATTTACACTCCCTCCCCCTATAGAAAAAAGAAAAAGAAAATATGATATTGAAAACAAGCATACTCTTTCGATACATTTCTTCATTTCAAACCATACTCCACACCCAATGCAAAAATGAAAAGAAGAAGAAAGAAAAAAGATGTGATATTGTAAACAAACAAAAGTGTTATACATAACTGCTATTGCCATGCTACAGCGCCTTGCTGGACTGTAACGCCAACTTAAAGTCAGGTAATACTTTGCATTGATTGTTGCTCAGTTTTAGCTCATATTTAATCCACATTAAATAAGATTAATTACAATAAATTATAACAGGTTTAATTGGGATTAATTGTTCCGAAGGGTCAGGCAAATATAAGAATTGGGTTAGTTTAGAGGCATTTTTAACAGCCGCTCTCTGCGAAAACCATGGGTACATGGACATTAAACTATTACCATGTTTAAACCGAGACAGTATATGGAGCAGACTGTATATTTTAATGCCGAAATGTCTTGGACTGTTCCGGATTTAGAGCAAGGCAAATCAGCAGTAAAGGGTTTATCCCAAGTCAATCTATTCAATGACAGAGTCTATGTAACTTTTGTGGTCAACTTTACAAAACACTTTTAAACTTGCTTGTCTAACCAATCAAATAGTTTGAGTTAAATGTATTTTTGAATTATATAAAAAGGGCGTCCGTAGCCGAGTGTATAAGGTCGTTGACTTCAAACCACTTGTCCCTCGCCACTGTGGGTTCGAATCCAAACAGGTACTTTGGATTCTTTCATGTAAGGAAGCTGTCCAGCTGGCATACACAACGTCGGTGGTTCTACTCAGGTGCCCGTTCGTGCCTGAAATAATGCACGGAAGGGTACCTGAGGTCTTCATCGACCAATAAAGCTGGAATGTCGCCATATAATTTAAACCGTGTTGCTGCGACATAAACCAAACCAAAAAAGAAAGGTGAATTATATAACAGAAATGTACGTTTTCAACAGACAAAGGCCTTGTCTACAATTTCAAAACGTTATTACCCCTTGAGGTTTATGCTTTATTTAATGCAAGCAGGTAAACAGTTGTATAAATACGTTATTGTAAAAAGAAGATAATTCAATGAATCAGCATTGAAGATCTACCAAAAGATATTATAATTATATATCTTAATCATGAATTGAATTATCTTATATATTCATCATTAACAAAGGTACACTGAAAGGATTTACAAAATAACAGAATTCTTATTCAAAAGCTTGTGCATGGGTAAACAAAATGTCCTTGATAAAATGTGTATACTATTATTTATGATAAAATAGGAGATATTTTCACCTTATAAGAGCTACAAAGGTCTCAATTTTTTTTACAAATACTAGCAGAAGAGTTTTATCAAATAATGATACTGACATTTCTTCAAGTTTACGCTGTTTCAATTTTTTTGAAGTGCGTTTAACAAAGTAGAAAAAGTAAGGAAATGACATTTCTACTTCTACAATAAAAACATATCAAATCATGCTGGAACGTTTTTATGTTAAGAAAGAGTTTGAAAGACGGACCATATATTGATAAAGGGCCATAAGCTGATCAAATAAAATCAACTTATATGTAGTCGTGTCTTTGATCTTCAGATCTTCAGGCTCAGTATGCGTCTGAAATCCATATACGTATATGAATTTTTTTAGAAATGTTAAACATGAGTTTAATAATGTTTCAATAACGGATTTATAGCTTGTTAGATGTTTAATAGCTGACGAAAGTACTACTGAATGTGAAGGTATATGTCGTAAATGTAGCACAATGTAAACAAAGTAGTATTTTGTACCAATGCACTTTAATTATAACAATTGCCAACAAAGCAAATCAAAAGAGACAAAGAAAGTTCATATGTATGGCAATTTAGTATCTTATTGAAAACTGTAGCAATATACCAAAAAATATGAAGTTTTTTGTGAAATAAAGATGATTGCATTTCTGAGGCATAATGGGCTCTTGACATTAAACCTGCCGATTTTGTGTTAAGGATTTGTCCAGTTTTGAACTTAGAAAAAGCCCATTAAAGTGTAAAATATTTCAAAATTGAGGTATCGAACTAGATTATCAAAACATAACAGAACATATCTTATTATGCAATATGACTTGAACATTATTAGTTCCTCGTCATTGCACAAATATATAGCATACTTTAAATTCAGCGAGAGTGAAAACACAAATATTCAAATTTAACATTTGGTATTGTCAGCCATATACATTATTCATTTTTTCCTTTCTGATACTGAATGATTTATTGCAATATAAAATATTGCTAATTTATTCAAAGTATTTGTATAACATGATTGTATTCAATAGATCAATGAAGTCAACCGTACTAGGATGCATATACATTACGTGGTATATACAATTTTCTTAAGTCAGAATAAATAGAACAAATTAAAACATCTATACTCCATATGTGGCAAAAGCTAGGTATTTTCAAATGGTTTAACTTTGTCTCAGAAACAAACATAAACTTAAAATAAATAGTAGGTTCTATTTTTTTATAACTTATCCAGGTCTAAACTATTTTTTGTGTAATACAGATTCACTCATTTATTCTTTTTATTTGTTTTGACTGAAGGATATATTATGCTCAACTTTGATATACCAGTATTAGGAAATGTAGCTTCCCGATCATAGTGTATGCATTTATTATTTTATTCAAATAAGTTATATTCAGTAAGAATTCCCTATATTTTGATAAATTTCTGAAACAAAGTATTTTACCCAAAGATGAGCATAGTATATCTTTACCCCATATTAATGTCTTGTTGATAAGTCGTAAATAAAGTTTTATATGAATGTCCTTAACAACACTACGTACGTTGTTTTTTATGTTTCAAGAATAGGAAGCCCATTCTAAAAATTTATGCAATCTGCTAAAGCTTAAACATATTTGTTTATTCTGAATTTAAAAATTTCATATTTGTACTTTTATCACTTTTACCACGTGATTGTGTACTGTATTTAAACTTATTCAAGTAAGATCAAAGCAGTGGAAGTGCTGGTTGCGACAAGCCCTAACATTTTATGCAAATATTTAACTACACAATTTATCCTTATGTTAATTTGAAAGTAAACATAATCAAAATAATTGAAATATTAAAAAGTGACCTTGTGGGTTATATCAAGAAGAGTCCTTTCAATACATTCTAAAATTCCCATTATAAATCATTCTTACACGACCCGCATTTCTTCCCTATTGAACATAGAAGAACCGAAAGTGTGTGTTAGTATGCAATAAAATCACAGTTTGACGTTCTATATCTAGGCATGCGACGTAATCATTATACACGTGACGTAACCACTAAAAATGTGACGCGCTGAAAATAGGTACGGAAGCATATCAGGAGCAATTAATAATATCAAGTACGGCAGTATTCATTTGTGGATGTCGTGTTAGAATCGAAATAATATATCCAAATCGGTGATTTTATCGCTTAATAACATCACTGTTTGTCGTTCGGATGCGCCCTCGTGATATAATTCCTCGCATCTGAACTCCAAAAAGTGATGTTATTGAGCGATAAAATCACTGTTTGGGATATATTATTTCTTAAATATACGTTTAAAAGATATATTACATGAATTGTTAGCTTATTTTAGAGATCAGTCAATATCAATGACCAGAGTTCCAATTATTTTATTTAAAGTCAATGAACCGCCACTCAAAATAAAGCAAGGGTCAAATTAATAAAAAAAAATCTGAAAATCTCTTTCTGAAAATTGGATTGGGTTAATTTTTGATTACTATTATACTGTGTCACAGATATATATACATGTATACAATCTATATTTAGCTCCATGACTGTGCACTGATTACTTAAAATGGTCATTCTCGCTCAAAATTTCCGGTCGATTTAGAATTTCTGTGCAACAACTGAAGTAGTGTGAAGCAAAAATGAAATGCATGGTTTTCACATGCAACTGAATTACGCTCGGGTTCGAATAAATGGTATAATTGTTAATGACTATGATATATTTGCCATAGCCAATAATAGCAAGTAATTAAGTATTTAGTAAGTAAATTGTTTATTATAGTGACATTGTGCATATGTATATATATATATATCAATTTCACATACATGATAAGAACAGTTGTATACAAAGACACCCGGCCCATTGGACCTATAAGTCATCTTATTATGTATATACAATTATTGGAGAGTTCATCAGACCTCTCCATAGTGTTCAGACTGATTGCTGGCGGCATCCATGTTTGCGTATCTGATTGTAGTGAATGAATCTCATTTACAGCTTAAAGCTATTAGGAGCAGTCTACAAAATTTGTTTTGCGCATGCTCCGTTTCAAAATACGACTTAACTTAAACGAAAAATTAACATCGAAGTGAACGAATCGGTACATAAAAAAATCGGAAAATATTATTTACGTTGCTTAGCGCGCTACGTGGATGTTTAATTCATTCCGTTCTTATCTTTTAAACTGTATAAATCGATTACAGTAT